AATATAATATATATTATATATAATATTATATATACAGTACATATGATATTATGTAAAATACAAAATTAAATCAAGTAATATTTAATTTGTACATAATGATATACATATTGTTTTAACGATGATTTTCAAATTTGCCTTTGTACCTTAATTGAATTTATAGGATAAAAGTATGTGTAAAATTATAAATTATATATATTATATATATAATTATATTAATACTTTGTGTTAAACTTTATAAGATTTTATTTTAATTTATCATTCTAACCATTTTTTAAGTGTGTAACAATTCGTAAACCAGATGTACATCTTTTGTTGCATTTATTCTGATGAAGATATTCTTAAGTCGGAAAAATTAAAACAAATACTATTTATTTTATATAAATACACAAGATGTTCTTTTCTTAGGTTCATCTATATTAATGTAATTTTATGCATATAAATTTTGTAAATAGATATTATATTTTAACATTTAAACGACTTATAATTGTAATTTTTTCTAAGTTCCGTTTGTTTTTAGTATTTAAAGTAATTAACAAGGTTGGCAAGATTATATTTACGAAATGATCTTATTGACATAAATAAGACTGTTCTTTTAGTAAAATTTTATTTATACTGTATTCAATTTGTTAAATGCAATAAGTGATTAATACTATTCATTGTTATAAAAATTACGTATAATTGTGATAACTTTATATAATTTACTCTTCTAAGAGTACAAAACTTATAATCAACATCTATTACAAATTTTGTCTTTCGTAAATTACATTTTACTTAAAAATATATTGCATATTTCTATTAATAAATACAAAGCAATTTTCTGTTTATATCAAAGGAACTACATTTGCTCAGTGATTAATAAAATATCTTTATAAGATTATATGTTAAACAGAACTTTTGCATTAATGTCAATTTTTTTCAAATAACTCTAAATTATTTGAGGGGTAAGAGAAAAAGTAAGAAAGATTATTAACCAAATTTCTAATGTTTTACTCCAGCAAATGACAAAAAAAGATTTGATAGATTTAATCATATCGTTTATAACATCAAGTCTATATTTGAATTTATTAAGTATATGGTTTAAATGTCAGACAAGAAATGAACAATTTTGTAACTCTATTTACAATACAAAACATCAAAAATTAATTTTTCCTTTACCCTTCATTTATAGCTAATAAATGCTTAGAGAACGAAATAATCTTTTTTAATAGAGAATTAACCAAATAATTAAAAAGAGAAGACAATGGAGGTTGTATTATATAATCTTAAATAAATTAGTAAACAATGATCTATTTATACCATTTAAATTAATAATTTTATATCTTAATTGTAAATATTGATAATAATTTATATTAAAATATTTCTTGAAATTAGTTAACATAATCGGATTATAATCACATAATTCATATACTTCACATGTATCCTGTAGAAATTTGTTTAATGTTAATGTATTATAATTGAATTTTTCATCAATTCCTCAAATGTAAGGTAATCAACATTTACTAATTATTATTAAAATGCAATGAAATTGAAAAATAATCATAAGATGTTATATATATAACATCATATTATATATATCATATGTAATGCCTCTAAATTTAAATACAAAAAGTAATAATAAAATACTATTGTAATATGCCACAAATTTTCAGATTGACAAGTCATGATGAATTTAATAAGTAACAATAAAATTTTTTTATTTTTAAAATAGCAGCAAAACTTATATAAATACTTCATTAAAATACATTTTTAAAAAATTTTTTTAAGGTTTATTTTATAAGAAGATTAATGTTTATATAAGAAGGTATATAGATTAGAAAGCCAGATAAATATGATAAAAACAATGAAGAATCATAGAAAAATTTATTAATGAAGATTCAATTGTTTAATGTACAGTAATTATTATATACATATTATTAAATTTAACTAAGTTTTAATTTAATTGAGTGTTTTACAGTTTCAGAAAACATGTTTATTAATGTATTGATTCTTTTGAAGTACAGCATTATATGCATATATTAAGTTTCTTGTATGAGTGAATTGTTTTTGAAATACTTTTGTTTTCTGTTATGATCTGAATTCTTTTCTTTTTCTTTCTTACTACATTTCATGGTATATTGTTTGATACATTAGGTAATATAAATAAATATTTTGTACATTTTTATAGTATAACTTTGATATTATATAAATAAATAATGTTTTTTATTAATGATCATAAATTTATTCCTGTATAATTAAATAGGTTAATAAAATATTTATCACAGTTATATCAATATAAAACTTCTTATTCATAATAAAACATAATTTAATTTATTACCACCTTTTACTATAATGTATCCATTGATTATTATTTAATATCATATATTTATTAAAAAATATATATATATAAATATACTTATTGTAGAAAAATCTTTATTTCTATCTAGTAATTTGTAAATTGTATTACCTTTTTACTAGGAATGTTAAAATTATTTAATCATAATATCTATTTATTAAATTTTAATCAGCATTGCAAACGTGTTACGAATTTATGAGGCAATTAGTTCTGTATAATGTTTAATTTTAGTTACACGTGTACTTTGTTGAACATATTTTTCCAAAATTTTAAACATGAAGAAGGTTTGAAAAATACTGTGAACTTTGAACGAAGAAATATTCAAGTAGAGTAACTAGGGATTTTCGTATTATGTCAACACTTGTTAAAGTCATTACAAATCAAATTATTATAGAGGCGGTTCCGTGTTCGACTTTTTAAAAACTTAATTTTTCGTGTTTATTTGTTCATAAAGAGAACAGGTATATTTTCTGGCAGAAGATGTCTGGTGATATGCAAGCAAGGAAGCGGAAAGAGAAGAAACGTAAAAAGGGTAAAAAATAGACTATTGAAAGTGTGAGAGAATTATTATAACTTGAACGTTTATATCATTAATACAAACAAACAATGCTTTTATTAATTTTCAAAATTCTTACAAAATGTGGATATATTTAAGAATATGATAATAAATATATTATATTATAATTATATAATGCATACATACATATATATATATATATATATATTAAAAGTGTATACGCGATCTATATATATATATATATATCACATTTCATAATGTAATTTATATACTAAACATTTGTATAAATTTTGTTTTATTAATCGTGACTTATATACATATTTTTTTTAATATTTCATGAATTATATCATTAATTTAACAATAATATATAATAGTAAAAATAATTTAAAAATTAATTAGTTATTATAAATTAATTTCTTTCTTATATATTACCATGTAATTCATTAATTAATACATAAATTAATTAAACTTTATGGAAAAGATTCATAAAATTCTGAGATTTATCATTGAAATCACGAAAATATATGTATATAGTACTTTTATATACGTTAGTTATTTTTATTTGAAAATATAAAATTATTACATATTCTATTTAAATATTTGATATTCATTATAAAATAATAATTTTACTTTAAAGTCGTATTTTTAATAATTTATTGCGTTGTAAATGTATCTTATAATAATACTATTTTAAATGTAAAGCTTCAGATATTTTGAAGCATATTTGGCAATGTTGCTGAAATTAGAAAATGCAGGGTCTTAGAAGTTTGATCAGCCTAGCTTTCAGCTTTTAAAAATAGATCAACCCATATTATCCAGTCCGAAAACATTTCCGACAATTTATTTATATATTTTACATATTTTCAAAATACCTTTTATTTATAATAAATATTTACATTTTTAAATTAATTACTCCATATGAATAAAATGCAAAGTTGAATAACATTTTTACAAAAACTTTATTTTAGTAAACAAATGAAGCAGTAAATATAGATCGATGCCATATATCGTTTCAATGGAAATATGTATATCTTTTTAATATAAATGCATTACCCTTGTATTATATACTGCATAATGTAAAAATATTCTATCATGAGTTTTAAAAAAAATATTTTATGTGTTATGTTGAATTATATTAATGATTGACTATATACATTATACTTATCGTATTTATTATAAAGAAAACATTTTACAAACTTTTTTTAGATAGATAATAAATGTTATGAAAAATAATTACGAAAACCATATAAATAATAATAATTACTATTAATATTAATATTGAATTATTTTTGTAAATATATATGGATATGTGTAAACGAATAATAACTAAAGAAACGTTTTGATCATTTTTACAAATTTAATAAAATAAAAATAAAGGAAAACAATGCTTTCAATACCCAAAAATAATTTTTATAATATAATAATTTATTATTCTATTGAGTATTTTTCAATTTCTAATTTGAGTAAAAGTGTTGCAATCTACGTACGTGCGATATACATATACATGTAGTATCTTCTTGAATGTACGTCTAATACTATTCTTTTAAAAGTAATTTTTGTAGTAATTACTTTATAATTAATTAATAATTATTATTGGCTATAATTAATAATTAATACTTATTATTGAATATATATTGAATATAATTATACTGTATTTAGATGAGGACGATAATGTTATTTCTTCACCCACATTGGGAAATATTAGTGAAAATTTAACCGACAACGTAACTATACATATTTATAAAGAAAGTAGCACAGGTGGACATTGGTGTGCTCGAATTATATTTTTTGTTGTCTTAACAATGCTTGTTGGTTTAATTGGTGTAGTTATAATTGAGCACAGAGGTACTACAGACAGTAAGTGAACTTTATATATATTTTATTTACAATGTAGATATCATTATTTTTAATGTATTACTTCAACATTATGTATTTCATGTTATAAGTTAGTACACCATTAGAATCCTCTCGTTGGGCTTTCCTTTTTGATGGATGGGTAGATGATTCTTTGTCTTTATCCAATGAAGAAACACATGATAATGGTCCTGAAGAAGCTAAACAAGAAGATGAACTAAAACATAATGAAGATAATAATAATATAGAAGCTACAGAAACTGAAATTTTGTCTAAAGAAGAAACTGAGGAAGATGAAATATTGAATGAATCTGTAGAACAAGAAGGGGAAACATTAATTGAAAAAGAATCAAATGAAGAACATGATGAAGTTTCTCAAAATGAAGAAGGTATTAAAGCATACAATATTAAAATATAATAATCAGTAGAAGTTTAGAATATTTTTATAATTTTTAAATTTGGTAGAAAATAGCAATATGGAATTAAGTCATGAGAATGAAATCGAAGACAAGGAGCAAACTAAAGTTATATTGGAAGATGATGATACACAAGAATTTGATGATTCTAATGTATTAGAAGAAATATATAGTGCTAGTAAAGAAAACACTTCAGATGAACAAAATGTTTTATATGACGCAGAAAATCAACTTGAAAAAATATTCAAAATGACAAGAAATGAAGATATATTTGAGAAATTTATAGACATTCCTGGTGTTAATGAAATTAGTGATAATAATATAGAACCTTTAGAGGAGGTAAAATTAACATGATTAAATATCACTATTAAAGTAATAACTTAAGAAAACATTTTTTTAGACATATTTATTTTCTCACATTTGTACCATGTATTTTCCTACATATAAAATTAGAATAGTCTTATAGAATAGAATATAAAAATTTTGATATTTGTTATCTTCTATTTTATTAAAACTTTGTAATTTTTATTTTCTTGAGCTTGAGTAATAATTGCTGTTAGTAATTATACTAATTATAATTTACTTATTACAAGTAACATATACTAATTTGCTGATATTTTTATTTATTAAATAAAATCAAATTTCCTTAAAGAATATTTCAATAAGTTTTGTTAATATATTATTAACTTCAGTAACAGTATCATTATATACATATAATATATTTATAACTTTTCATAAATCATTTCATAATTGCTTAAGTTATAACACATTATTATACTATATTCTTTTATATTAGGTAGAAAGCATAGAACCTGAAGAATATGTTAATGATATAGATGTCAAGTCAGAAATAAAAGAAGAAGAAGAAGAAGAAGAAGAAGAAGAATCTACTAACGGTGAGTGAAGTATCACTGTATAGTAAAGTTGAATTATGTCATATAGTTTTTTTTCCTATTGTAAAATGATCCTCCATGCTCTGATATGTTTTAACAAATATAATATAAACATAAAAATTGTTATAATTTTAGAAATTTCTTTATATTTTATTATAATTTTCAAATCTCAATGAGAAATAACATCTGATGATTACAGTGCCAATGAAGTTTGGAGTTGGTGTGGCACTTATTGTTGCTGCACATTTTGTCCTTGTGAAACGATGGAATAATGGTAAATGTTGTAACACTTTTTTTTTATAAATAATTTACTTATTGCATTTAAATGAATCTCTGATTTACTTTTGATTTTTTGAGTTGACAGATTATACAATTTTTATTAAATTAGCTTTGATATTTAACAATATAATATTGTTACATACGCTAAAGTACAATTTCATTTGAATTACATAATTTTTCAATATCTGAACTGATTGATCTTAGAAACAGTATATCAGTTTTACAATCATATAAATATTCACAAATAATAAAGAAATCATTATTACAAATATCTCAATAAAGATCGAAATAATATATAAACTGCTTTAGGATTTGTTAACTCCATACATATATTGAGTAAACACATACTTTTTTTCGTATTTAGAATTTATTTTTATTCAAAATTAATATAAAGTAATTTCATCTGAAAAAAAGATATAAAAGCAAAAATAATTTTGATAGATAAAACAATTTTTAAAATAGGGAAATATGAAACAGTGGAACAAGATAAAATTGGAAAAGTAGAAATAAAAGCATATCAGAAAGAAGAAGAGATACGGGTGGTAGAACAACAGAAAGATGAAGAAATTGAAAATGCAAAACAACAGAAATCAGAGGAATGGGACAATAAAGAATTAAGGAAAGGAAAAAATAAGGAAGATGAAAAAGAGGAAGAGGAAGAGGAAGAGGAAGAGGAAGAGGAGGAGGAAGAGGAAGAGGAGGAGGAAGAGGAGGAGGAAGAGGAAGAGGAGGAGGAAGAGGAAGTGGAAGAGGAAGAGGAAGAGGAAGTAGAAGAGGAAGAGGAAGTAGAAGAGGAAGAGGAAGAAGAGGAAGAAGAAGAAGAGGATGGAGATGAAGATGATGAAATAAAAAAGGGAGAAGTAAGCAATTCAGAAGAAAAAGAAAACAAAAGATGGAGTGGAAAGAAACAGAAGCATGAAAAAATAATGTCAAAAGAAAAAGAAGAGGAGACAGATGAAGAAGAAGAAGAAGAAGACAATTTTGATGATTCTGAGTTAATAGCAAAACTTGAAGCTAAATATGGAAAACTACAAACTATAAAAGATGATAATGAAAAAGATAATGAACACAAAAAAAAAATTAGAATCAATAGTTTAATAACACAGAAACATAAATAATAATGTGTTGAATTGTATATATATTTAATGTGACTATTAGCACTTTTAGAATTTCTTAAAATTGCAGAATTTATTTTTACATAATCAAATTATTATATGACAATATTATTATGACAATAATAATATATAATAAATAATAGTTTTTATTGTTTTAATTTGAAACAAACTAAATACAATTGATTAAAACAATAAAAATTTAAAGAAAATATAATCAATAATATAGATTGTATAAAATGTAAATGAAATAGATGAGCATGGAGGATCTTATACAAGTAGTTTTGTACAGTCTAGTAAAGTAAAGAACAAGATGTATATTTAAATAATCAGCTAATTGTGCAAAGTTTTGCATTGTACATATAAATATTTATAAATTTTTTTACTAATAGATAATACTCATAAGGTATCCGATGCCAACATTGATAAAATTTTCTAGGTTGACAAACCAAGTACAAGTAAAATGGATACATAGCCTTTTAACTAAGATAACTTAAATTAGGGGGAATTATTAATGTCAAAAAGATAAGTTTTAAACAAATTTTGTATAGTTGTTAATAAAAGTTAACACAATGTATACATACAGTGATACAAAAAAAAGAGAGAGATAAAATTTATTTTTAATGTTTCATTTCTAAGACTTGTAAGAACAAAATATCAAACTATTTATCATCAATTATATCTGAAATTCAATAAAAATGTTTTGCTAAATAAATAAACATTACTGTTAGTCATTTGGAGAAAATTACTAAATTTATACAGAATAATGTATGATTAATTAACACACATGATCAAATGTAAATTTAAAGTATAAAAACGTAAAAAAGCTTGTTCGTATATTTTTTTCATTTCTAAAGATAAAATACAACTTCAATGTCATGAAATTGAAGATTCTCTAAATAAATTTCAATTACTTTAAAATTATCTCTATTAAAAATCTAAGAAATCTGTGAAATAATATTTTATGATCGTAAACTTTAATTTCTTAATTTCTTATAATTTTTTATTTATTTAAGATTAACCTAGATCTAGTATTGCGTATATAATAGACACTAAATGAAAATTAATTTTTGTTTTCTCAAAACCTAGTAATATTTTAAAAAAATTAATATGGTGTGTAGATATTCGTTTCACTGTGCTTTAAGTATAATAAATAGAAAGATTGGAAGAAAATGTTTATAATGATTATATTTATTAAAGTTATACTTATTAAATATTTTTCGGATACAGTCGTATACTCGTTTAACTGCTCCCTACAGAACCAAATGATCGTAGGATAAACGACTGACCGGTTAATCTAACATTATTAATTAGAATAAATTAATATATACATATTTATATGGTAATTCATTAATGTAAATTTAATATCTAATAAAAGCCTTTTAAGGGATTTTGACAATAAGCACAAATAAAAATATCATCATCGTATCCAGTGTATAAGGAATACGAAATAAGTATGATTGTAATATAGACCAATCCAATCGATATTACCACTTTCCATCTTTTGTAACATTGACAAACATTTCAGTTTGCGAATGATATTTTTAAATAATTAAATACAGTATTTTGAATTCAGATTTTATAACTAATTATACCTCTATAAATAACATGTTAGATTCGTCAATTAATATGAAAAAAAAAATTCACGAAATGTACTTGGAAAAGATTTCTAGATGAATAAAAATAAACATTTCCACTTTTTAGGTAAAACAATGAAATGAAATGACAACATTTTTGTCCGATGGCGTCAGAAGATATTAATCGCAATACTCGGGTTAGGTTAGGTTAAGTAGATATCGATATATCGTAGTACCGGCTTAATTAAACAAGAAAAGCCTATATTATAACCGTAGTCTATATTTCCACCTTTTTATTTATATCTATTTATATTGAATTGTACTAACAATTCATTTTGTTTATGTATGTGTACCTATGTATATTGAGAAAATGTATGGTAATCAGTTTAGATCATGGCATGATTGGGATACGTGAAGAATACATGTGTATAAATGAACGTTAAAGCGGGGTCCGATAATCGATTGTCGAATGTATATTAAAAATCACATGTTTTTTATGAAATTTTTCAGAGCATGGACTTATTGGAGTATGAAAATGCTTCGTATAATACACATTCTTAGAGCAACTTATGCACTCTATGAGTATTTGAATTGAAAATGATTGAAATACAATCATCGAAAACTTTGTATTCTGTAGTATTCTGTCATTTGTATGCTGTCAACTGTAGAAATACAATCGTTTTAGTTTCGCATCCTTTTCAATTTTGTTTATTTTTCAACAGAGATTTATTCGATTTAGTTATTAATCTGACCACTCCATTTTTTGTAATTATACTAAATTGAAAAATAAAAGAAGACAATCGAATGCGACAGTCAAATGTATTTATTTCAAATTTCAAAAGAATCCGCATCGGGTATAACCGTGAAAATTTATGAAGTACTTATCGAAGTGTTGGATAGGATAGTTGCGAGGTATAAATGGAAAAAAATTTACTTTTAGATATATTTTATAACATTTATAATTATTACAAGATCTAACGTTTAATTTCATCTAAAAGTGATAATAAAATCTAGTATAAAATAAAATTGAAGACACAAAGAATAAAAATTCTTAACGTGTGGTTAAAAAAGAACCATAGCTCGAAATAAAATGTAAAGAGTGATACTTCATTCTTGAAAAAATAACGAATGAATTTAAACTAGATATAACGCATAGCAGCAGAAATGAAATCTTTAGTACGATCGCAATGAACTTACGTATACAAGGTGTCTGATAACTGATGCTACAAGGCAACAGAAGATAATTCTGTATCTAAAAATAGAGGGTCTCTCGGAAGGTAACAAAACATCGTTTTCCTTCGTTTCTAGCAAAGACAGTTTAAATGTAAAACGGTTACATTACCTCTTACAAAATGATATAATATGAAGCATAAAAAGTATAAATAGCAGATAAACGAGCTTTGATTCTTGTGAATGAAGCAGTGGACTGAAAGGGAGTACCGTAGTAAGGGATTAAACAGAAAACCTTAACGCTTGAAACTTGACAGTTCACATATATAGGGTGGGGCACTTAAAACAGGTCACCTTAATAACTCGTTTGCTTCTTACAATTGCAAAAGATATTGTCAGAAGAAAGTTGCTCAGTTTTAGGAAGCCCACCCTGTAATGTCTATACTTTGATAATTATTTTAATATTATATTAATTGATTATTTTAATCGAATTGTAAAGAAATATTGACATTATACGATGGGCAGCTCGAAACCGAGCAACTTTAGTCTAACGGTTTTTTTGTTATCATGAAAAGCAAGCGAGTTATTAAGGTGATCTGTTTTAAGTGCTCCACCTTATATGTACTCATGCAATGTAGTCGCTGCATACATTGTGAGATTATCGTGCAAGAATACAGAAACTCTGCTGCGACTCTAGTTTCTTATAGACTTTTTAATACAGACGCCACTGTGCGTCATTAAGTGTTAACAAAAACGTTAGCTAAACGACAGTCGGTGAGTAACGTATGCACTGTCACGGACATATGCGTGTAATCAAAGTTAAGCCAACGATCGGACAAATTCGTAAATACTCACTATCGTTCTCCGTATTATAAAAGATGTTTTTATAGTGAATTACAGAGGGAAATTAGGTGGGCACCATTTCATCATTCGATATTGTATTTTCTACACAAAGTGATAATTAGCCATAATAATACAGTAATTCACCGTAAAAATGTCTTTTATAGGACATAGTACAGTACTATTTAGAAATTCGTCTCACTTCATGATCACATCGATCATATATTTATGTTGTATGTATCTTACATACGGCAAGGATTATTGCAACGCGAAATAAGCTTTAATTTGAAAACAAAATCATGAGACAAATATTTATTACGAAGTTTTGGTAATTATATATTTAGAAAGTAGACATCCTTTGGTTTGAATTAAGTTAATTTATGAATATATGATATTTGGAAAATGTCTTTCGTGATAACACATTGAATTCTGCCCGTATTTACGCGTCCGTGACAGTGCATACGTGAACATGTGACCATCACTTTTCTCTAAATAAAGCACTGTCAGTCAGCAGCAACGTACGAAAGTATTTTCTATTTTGTATTTTGTATTTTATCAGGTCCTGAAAAGTTTCGACTCAAAATATATAGTTTTGTCTTGGCTACGCTATTGAATACGTAGTTATTGAAAATGGAAGTACAGGAAACTTTTAACGATTTTGTTTAATATTATTTAATATCTTACAATGTTAGGTAATTATAGATACACCCCTTTCCAAAAGTATTAGGACACTTGGAGAAATTATTATAATTTCATAAATGTAGCGTGGCGAAGGCACCTTGGTTAAATTGTTGATGCCTTCTTCTTAGTATATATACACTTTATTACACGATTTGATGAGTTGTATGAGTGATTTGTGTATGTGTTGTATCGTCTCCGCCTTCTGCCGTTTTACGTCTTGTCTTCCGTTTTCCGTTTTCTGTCTCCTCGTTTTCGTCTCTGAGTTCTCGTTTTATCTCTCAACCATCGTATTGATGTGTTGTGCTGATGTATTCTGTCTGACTTCTCAAAACCGTCTGATGTTTCGCCTTTGACTTCTAACTGTCGTCACGTCTTGTCTAGTCTAGGTTTGCGGTGATTGGTAGAGAGTGATTGTAGGTGGAGGAAAAAATGGAGTTTTTAATTGGACAAGGAGTTTTAGCAGGACTTTGGATTAGGAGAGGGAAACTGTTAGGGAAGTTTCCCTTTGTTATTGTTTAGTTTTAAGATTTATAGGTATGTCTGTTTAGCGTTTCAGCGGGTCAGTCACATGTGCGTCCCGTCTGTTGGGTCTGGTCCTAAGTACTGCGGTCCATAGTCCTTGTTTTTGATTTATAATTTCTTAATCCTCAAGAAGGACGGTTGGGCACGTCTTCCATGTATTATTGCCGTCGCAACAATAAATATATTTCAAAGTTAGTTATATTAAGCTGAGAGAGG